CATGAAGAGTATTGCAGAGAAATCAGTAATAGAGGTGGGTATCAAACAGGGATCTTAAAGCTCTAATCTGAATCAAGACATTCTGGTACACTGGCTGCCAGAAGACCTGAGACCATCAACTAAAAAATTATCCCCCCTTAGTGGGCAGGGAAGGAGTTTTCTAAAGTTCCCTTTTGATGTAACTAGAGCTTCTGGGGTGTAGCTCAGATGGTAGAGAACTTGTCTGGCACACATGAGGTCCTGGGTTTGATTCCTAGCACAGGCTAGGTCCTGAGTTTGATTCCTGGCACAGGCTGGAACCAGTAGATAACAAGTCCAAGGTCATTCTTGGCTACAGCAGTTTTGAGACTAGCCTGGACTACATGAGGTCCTATCTCAAAATTGAATAAATAACTAGGGTGCATCATGACCAATTTTTTAAGAACCAAAAAATTAGAATATAAGCTGAAAACAAATTGCCTTATAAGAAAGATACAGAGAAAGTAAATAATTATTCAGAGATGTTTCCAAGCCAGGCATGGTGGCACACACCTTTTATCCCAGCAGTTAGGAGGCAGAGGCAGAATGATCTCTGTGAGTTTGAGACCAGCCTGGTCTACAAAGCAAGTTCCAGGACAGCCAGGGCTACACAGAGAAACCCTGTCTCAAAAAAAAAAAAAAGGTGCTTCTGAAAATGCTAATTCAATAAAAACAGATGGCATAGGGCCTGCTAGATGGGGGGTCCAGTGCTGAGAGGGTAAGTGGACAAAAGCTCTCATCCTTAATCAAAAAGCTATCTCCAATTGACAACTGCTTGCAATAGAAAAACTAGTATAAAATATGGAGTCTCACTGGGCCTATGAACCACACTTAATGGAAGCCCCACACCCACTGATTGTAGGGGACAGTGTAAGTCACGCCTGCTAGAAGCAACTTGCTGCCCCTTAAAACCCTATCACAGGTCATCCTGACCTCACCTTGACCATGCCCTGACAGGCATGGTCAGGCATACCTGTAGCCAGCTTCTAGCAGGCATGGCTTACACTGTCCCCTACAACTGATTACTTTATTTGTATACTTTTCATATCTTACTGGTGTTTTGCTTGTATGTAGTGCTTTCTGATTTTGTGTTTTTATGAGTTTTTGGATGTGTGTGTGTGTGTCTGTGTGTGTGTGTGTGTGTGTGCGTGTGTCTGTGTGTGTGTGTATTTCTTGTCCTTTTTTAATTTTTATTCAGACGTTTTTAAATGTGCCCATTTGTTTTTTGAAGAGATGAGGGGATCCCGGCAGGTGTCATAGATGGAAGTGAACCATACAAAGGCATAAGAATGAAAACCTGTTGCAGATTAACTTCATCAACCTGGGTCACACCTAGGACAGTCTAATGCCAGGCGGTTCATCGTCAGCATATTTAAAACAGTGCCATTTGGGAAAAGGTTTCTGGGAACCAATTCATCTAATCATTCCCATTCCAGGCACACAATAAAGTTTAAGGTGTGACTACATAAGACACTCCTTTACAAAGTACATGTGATCATGTACATGGCTAATAGGCCTAGAATCTAATGTGGTCTAATAGAGGTCAGCAGGTCATAAAGTACATGTGACAGCTCCCCTAAGGGTGGGTAATGATCTAGGGAGGAAAGAGTCTGGGATAATCATTCTGGGGGATTTGGGTGAGGTCTGTCTCTATAGCAGAGGGTGGGTGAGGTCTGACTATAGCAGAGGGTGGGTGAGATCTGTCTCTATAGCAGAAGGTGGGTGAGGTCTGTCTCTATAACAGAGGATAAGTGAGGTCTGTCTCTATAGCAGGAGGTAGGTGAGGTCTGTCTCTATAGCAGAGGGTGGGTGAGATCTGTCTCTATAGCAGAGGGTGGGTGAGATCTGTCTCTATAGCAGAGGGTAGGTGAGGTCTGTCTCTATAGCAGAGGGTAGGTGAGATCTGTCTCTATAGCAGAGGGTGGGTGAGGTCTGTCTCTATAGCAGAGGGTGGGTGAGATCTGTCTCTATAGCAGAGGGTGGGTGAGGTCTGTCTCTATAGCAGAGGGTGGGTGAGGTCTGTCTCTATAGAAGGAGGTGGGTGAGATCTGTCTCTATAACAGAGGGTGGGTGAGGTCTGCCTCCACAGATAGCAAAAAAGGTCACCAGGTCCTTAACAAAATCCACTCCCAGCCTTCTGGATGGAATGCAGGAATTTAATTTTTTTCCTCCATTGAGGAGACACCCCGTGTGATTAACAATCCTGGTTCTCTTAGTGCACAAGGACCTTTGTGCTCCCAATGAAAGCTAGAGAAAGAAGGCATTGAATTGGGTGGATGGGGAATTGGGGAGGCGATGGGAGGAGCTGAGGAAGGGGAAACTAACCAGAATATATTGAATGAAAAAATATTTTTTTGCATGAAAAAAAAGCAGGTATTTCTACACAATGACACCTTACCTGGCTACCACCAGAATGCCTTCAGATGATTAGTACTTTTCCATTCCTGGGTTGGAGGCAGGGGAACCACAAATTCAAGGTTATCTTCAACTATATAACAAGTTCAAGGCCAATCTAAGCTGAGAAATGGAAAGAGACAGAGAAAGACTGAGACAGAATGTGGAATCTCAATTTCTGAGGTAGAGGCATGCTGCCTCGATTACCACATGGAAACCAACTTAGGGATAAGGATCCTCAAGACCAAAGCCTCAAAAGTTTCATCACCAATCACCAAGAACGTTTTTAGTACCTACTGCACACTAGACCAGACACTTGTTCTGCCCACCACACAGAAAGTGCTCGATCCCTCCAGCTAGGTGTGCTGACACATGCTGCCTGATGCTGATAGTACTACAGAGTGGAGGCAGGTGGGCTGCAAGGTCAGCACCGGGTGGGCTTCATAGAAAGACCTGCCTCAGAAAAGGGGTGAAGGTGCTTTTCTGAAAGCTAGGCTGAGGGATGCAGAATTTTCATCTAACATCCGCTGTAATTACTCTAAACCGCTAACAGCCAGGCAGCAGCTGTCCCCTTGTGACTTGTTTTTTTAAAGAACTTTTCTCTCCTCTCCTCTCCTCTCCCTTACCCTCCGCTCCTCTCCTCTCTCTCCTCTCTTCTCCCCTCCTCTCCTCTCTCTTCTCCCCTCCTCTCCTCTCCTCTCTCTCCTCTCCTCTCCTCTCTTCTCCTCTCCTCTCTTCTCCCCTCCTCTCCCCTCCTCTCCTCTCCACACCTCCCTTCCCCTCTCCTTTCATCTTCTCTCCTCCCCCTCCCTCTTTTACAGGGCAAAGTTGCAGGGCTTCAAGCATACTAGGCAGAAACTCTATCACTGGCCGACATCCTCCTCTCCCCTCCTCTCCCCTCCTCTCCCCTCCTCTCCCCTCCTCTCCTTTCTCTTCTCCTCTCCTCTCTTTTCCTCTCCCTTCTCCTCTCTTTTTCCCCCTCCCTTCGCTTCTCTTCTTCCCTCCCTTCTCTACCTCTTTTCCTCTTCTCTCCCCTCCCCTTCCTTCCCCTTCTCTCTTCTCCCCTCCCCCCTCCCCTCTTTTCCTTTCTTCTCCCCTCCTCTCCTCTTCTCCTCTCTCTAAAGCATTTCAAGAACAGGGAGCTATCTGTGGCAGAGAAGCCTTTCTACCTAAATCTGAAGTACACTGACAAAGTTCCAGTAATCTGGTAGAAGTGGGACCAAGAGCAGTTGCACATGAGCTTGGCAGACAAGATGACTGTCATCCCTTTGTAACAGGGACACAGTAGCCCCTGTATTTCTAATACCTCTCTCTGGTGTGGAAAATGGAGAAAGCTGCACCCCTACCAGTGACTTGGGAACTATGGCTAGGAGTGTGGTAATAAGGGATGATATTTTGTTTTTGCCATGGCAATTATCTAAATTGTCAATAGCTACAGATCACACACACACACACACACACACACACACACACACACACACACACACACCTTTATACCTAGTACAAGCTTGTTGAAAAGCAGAGACTCAAACACAATCCCTTTTGTTTGGGGATTTTTTTTTTCCTTCTGCCAGTGTCTTAGTCAGGGTTACTATTTCTGTGATGAGACACCATGACCTAAAACAACCTGGGGAGGAAAGAGTTTATTTGCTTGACACTTCCACAGCACTGTTTATTATTGAAGAAAGTCAGGACAGGAGCTCAAACAAGGTCGGAACCTAGAGATAGGAGCTGATGCAGAGGCCATGGAGGAATGCTGCTTCCTGGTTTGTTCCCCATGGCTTGCTCAGCCTGCTTTCTTATAGCACCCAGAACCACCAGCCCAGGAATGGCCCCACCCACCATGGACTAGGACCTCCCACACCAATCATATATCCTACAGGCTTGCCTACAACTAGATGTTATGGAGACGTGAGGAAATCGAGGATTTCGATTTCTCAGATAACTCTAGCTTGTGTCAGGTTAACATAAAACTATCCAGCACAGCCAGTGAGACCCATGTATATGCTCTTCAGTGTGTGCGTATATGGAGATGTGCATGTGTGCATATACATGTGGAGGCCAGAGGTCATCCTCGGATGCCATTCCTCAGGCTCTGCCTTGCATCTTGAAACAGGGTCTCTTACTGGGACATGGAGCTCATTCATTAGGACAGGCTAGCCAGCGAGATCCAGGGATCTACCTGTCTCTACCCCACAGTGCTGGAATTCCAAGCACACAGCATCATGCCACACTTTTGCCATGGGTTCTGGGAGTCTAACTGGAGTCCTTATGCTTGCATGGCAAATACTTTCCAAAATGAGCCATTTCTCCAGTCCCATGACAGTCCATATTTTGAGTCTTGGTGTCATTTTACTTCTGTACCCCACATACTTTACAAACATCATCTTCAGGAGTCACAACAACCATTTACCATAGGTGTTTCCCACAACAGAGAGGCAGAAAGGAAGAGTCAGATAGCCAAATAGCTTACCCAAGTTGCTCGGAAGCCAAGATCCATGTAAGAGAATCCCCACTAAGCTGTGCCCCCAAAGAGTGGGTAGGACTGTGGACAACCTTAAAGTAACTTCATTTTTCCATCACTACAGCCTCAATGTACTCGGAGATCCAGAGGGAGAGAGCAGACATCGGGGGACTCATGGCTCGGCCAGAGTATAAAGAGTGGAATCCAGAGCTCATCAAACCCAAGAAGCTGCTGAACCCCGTGAAGGCCTCCCGAAGCCACCAGGAACTACACCGGGAGCTGCTCATGAACCACAGAAGGTAAATGGCACCCAGCTGTCTGGTCCAGCGATACCCTGCCCAGACTTGCTGTGCTTAGAGAAATGCTCCTTAGGGGTTGGCCTGGCCATTGTCTGGAGTCCCACAGGGTCACCAGAAAACAAACAAACAAACAAACAAACAAACAAACAAAACTGTGAGACCCTGAAAGGCACATCCTCTCTCCCAGCCACTTGCTGCATGCTTGGATGCCACAGATGCAATGTACTTACTCAACGTCTATTGCATTGTGTGCAGGGCACCATGTCCTCAGTTAGGATACAAAAAAAGGAGGCCCAGTTCCTGCCCTCCCAGAGGAGAGTGGAAGAATATCAGGCAGGACAGGGTGTGCATTGATGGAGGATTTAGAGGCATGTGGGCATAAATGAATTCATGGAAGAGATGATTCCTGAATGGCCTAAAGCAGGGACGGGAGCTGTCTTGGTGGGAGATAGGTTGTGCCAGCAGAGAGAATTAGAGAGCACACAGATGTTGCTGAGGAATCAGGCAGTGACGGTTCTCTCACAGCCATGTTCCCCTATTGGGCAAGAGGATAGCAGTGAAGCAGAAGAGCCAAGGGGGAATCTGGGGAATGGCATGTCTGCAATCAACAATCACAGCATGTCAAATATAGGACAGGGTGGTTGAGGAGCCTCTATGAGGATTCTGCTCACATGGCCCAGGCTGAAGGTGGTGGTGCGGCCTTCATGGAGTCCTCTGCTGGCCAGTTGTATTGGAGCTGGTTGTGATTTCCATTCTGAGACCAACATACAACAGATACCCCTTACACTCTGGGCTGTTTGCGGGTTTGTGCTCACTTAATATTGTAATATTATCATGTCCTAAGTAGTTTTTTTGTAGTGTTCATTCATTAAAAGTATCAAAAATATCACCACAATGAAAAAACAGCTTCAAACAAACTGAAATATTTGCAATATTAATAAATTATATTGAAAATTACATATACAATATAAATATTAACATATTCATGTACCTTAGTCTACAAGGAAAAAAAAAGAGTGAATTTGCAAAAGGGGAAATGCAAATGCTAGAAACATTTTAAAGACTATTGCATGTGACTGATAATCAAGGAAACATGAAAACTGGGCATTGTTTCTTGTCTCCTAGACTTAATAATAATAACAATAATGATAATAATAATAATAATAATAATAATAATTGTCTTGGAGAATGGGAATAAATAGTTGTCCTTGTAAGGAAATTAACTGCCAGGAGATTTCAAGAGAGCCCAGCTCAGCATTTCCACCTCCAGAAGCTCTGGTAAAATATAAAGCAACCACATGTCACCAGGTCTCTGTGGCCTGGGCTGAAATTCTGTTGTAGCTGCAACCTGCCTTGTTATTCTGGAGGCAGTGGCTCTTTGCCTCTCTCTATAGCGTTGGACAGTGAGGTCACCCCCTCCAGTGTTGCCCAAGCACTGTAAGAGAAAATGGCCATTGGGCATCCCTGTAAACTGCTGCCCAGACTGGGAAGGTGGGAAAGGGTGTCTCCTGATAGCTCCCACCTCCCCAGGGGCTTGGGTGTAGACAGCAAGCCTGAGTTGCAGCGGGTCCTGGAGCACCGACGCCGGAATCAACTGATCAAGAAGAAGGAGGAGGAGCTGGAGGCTAAGAGGCTTCAGTGCCCTTTCAAGCAGGAGTTGCTGAGAAGACAGCAGAGACTGAATCAGGTGGGTAGGAGGTAGCAGCAGCTCCATCTAAGCCTCCTCCAAGGCCCCAAGGGAAGGTCAGCACAGCACCAGGAATCTACCTCTGGCCTGCTGTGCGACACTAGCAATGACTTCACTTCTCTGACCCTGCTTTCCTGTGAGATCCATATCTGAAAGTTAGATCCCCTGTGAGAGCAGAGGCCATTTCTTTTTTAGAGGTGGGGGTCTGAGGCCAGAGGAATAAGTGATTTGAACCAGGCTTCCCAAGGAGAACCCGGTCTCTTACTCTGTTCCCGTGTGGGTACAGAGGGTATCCACTAAGATTTCCAGGTTCTTGTGTCCTGGGAGAATTGGCGAAGACATGCATAGTGGCATAGATGAAGTTCATTAAGGAAGAGGAAAGCACTTACAAATGGATGTGGGTTAGAGAGCTCGAACAGGTCCAGGGCTCAGAACCCCAGGCTGCAAGCAGCCTGACCCTTATGAGGTCATTTATACATCACCCCACCCCCTGTCCATATTCAAAGATGGTGGTGTTAGTATTCAGGCATCTGTACTGTCCTGTCCTTGGGGTTCTGACAGGGTATGTCCTCAGCTTCAGCCACTAAGAGCACCACCTGTGCACATTCACTATGTTCCCTTTTAAAAGGACCCTGCCCACTTCCCATCCTCCTCTTTCTCTAGCTGTATGTCCCTCCCTCCCTCCCTCCCTTCTTTCCTCTCTCCCACTGCTCCTGTCCCCAGAGGCTGGTCTCCCCCCTCCCCTTTCCCCCTTTTATGATCCCTTTCCCTAATTAAAACAAAACAAAACAAAATCTCTGCTTGAACCCTGTTGCTTGGTGTCTTCTCTCCAGAGCTGCTTTTCTTAAATTACAACAGGTGGCATTTCCTCAAGCATACTGTTTTGATGTTTCCTGAAGTGAGGGTGGGGTGTTTTTTTGTTTTGTTTTTATGTTAATCCTGATGACTCTCTCAAGCATCTACTCTCCTGATACAACCTACAGCCACCACCACTACCACTTTGGGATGGTTGGTAAAACCCACCCCAGGGTGCTTCTGCTTTCCCACTGACAAAACCTTTGGTCCAACACCATGGCTTTTGAAAATGGGAGGCCCCCCAGCCCTGCGAAATTCACAGGTGTCTCTCTCCTCCAGCTGGAAAACCCACCACAGAGAGAAGAGGCCCATGCTCCTGAGTTCATCAAAGTCCGAGAAAACCTGCGCAGAATTGCCACGGAGGAGAGAGCACTGTAAAATTCTCTACACTCAGCTCCTGCCACTCAATCTGGCCCAGACCTCCTCCAGCCCTCCTGAACCAGAAGGCCCTGACACACGGTGATGCCAGCAAGGCAGACATGAGAGGCTGGCTATCTCCGGGACCTCATCCCTTCCAACCCATACCCCGCAACCCGCAGGAAAATCTCTGTATGGACTTCTCCTTCTGAGCACCTAGCCTTCCAGTGCTAAGAGGAAGCCACTACCAGGAAAGACCTCCCCAGGTGCCTTTCCTGATCGGACCCACTAGTAAGCTTCCCTAGCAGAAGTGGAAAGGAGGGCCAGTGTCCCTACATTCTGCCTTAGCTTCCCAACAGGCCCCTGCTTTGGGAGCAGCCCAGCTCCTAGTGTTGGGAGTATCTCAGCTCAAGCTTGACCTGAGGCCAAGAATGTCTTGAACTCACAGAGCAAAGAAGAGACGCTTTGTCTGCTGCAAGGAAGGCCATGGAGGCCACAGCAGGCTGTGGCCAGGTGGGAAAAGCCCTAACAAAGGCAGCTTTGGGCCTTGTCCACTTG